GTTGTGTTCTGACGTTCGTCTATGCCCCAAATCTTTTTTTGTTATTTGAGCTGACCGAAGAGAGAGACTGCGTTACAAGCAACGATGCCGACAACTTTCATTGCGTTTGAAAAGGCGTGTTGAGGAGGCTTTTAAATCGGTCTCATTGGAGGCCTAAGGAGGATTGCTTTGGACTCATGGCGGTTGGATTTTATGAAGAGGATCTCGCCTCACTGTCATACAACTCTGATCCTTCCGGATTTTATCAGAGTGAGGGCTAATAATTTGCAACAATGAACAAAAAAAACACTAAGCCTTTTTTAGTGACAGGGCAATGAGCCAAGAAATTCTTCTCATTTTCCAAGTCTTCATTGTACGGGTTTTGACGAATTTTTAGTAAAAATTGCAAAGTTGAGTATAAGAAGTAAGTAGAATTTCAGCTATATACCTTTCTTGGTCTAATGCTTTTCGATGATTGTTCGTAAATGATGGTTTCTGGCCCTGAAGATGTCCGTCACATAATTGAAGAGAACACAGTACGGATGGTTCGGGATCGCAGGACAAGGATCTGAGGTCTTGCTCGCACAATCCAGCAGCCAAACATCCGAGGGAATCCTCTTTGGATGTCCGATTTGCATGGCCAATTTACGGACATTTTCCATCCGCCTTTTGTAACGAGATAAAAGGTATCCCAGTTTCCATCTATTAAAGAATGCATTGAAGCCTTCTGTTATGTATTACAAGTAACTTGTCGAGGACCAACTTGTGTACAAATAAAAGCTTAGCATAAGGGCTACACGCGAATGCAAACGTCCTCTTCGCCAAGGCGCAAACTAATTGCGTGATTTGTGTATTAGCTTCTTATTGGGGCTTAGGGGATGAACTGGCTTGACGTAATAGGCAAATTTGGCGGTTCCAATGGTAGGCTTAAATGCAGGTGGTGAGAATATGATTGGTCGACAGTCGCGTGCATGGGTCCGAATGAAAGCTGTTCGTGATTGGTCATTTTGTGAAAGGAAAAAATTGTTGGGAGATAACTGCGATCTCAGTTAAGGTGACCAATTGATGCAGTGAGAAGCAGGTGAAAGGAGTCCATATTATCTCTTGCCTGGAGGGTACTTAAGACTGACTTTATCTTTTAATTAAGAAACTTTCTAAATGTGTGATGAGCCTGCATCAAGTCCGTCTTTTCTTCCTTCATTCTGCCCGCAGGCGATGGAGGAGTTCGATGAAAGCGCTGGTCTGATCTGTGCCAAATGGGATTTGGAAATGCATAATCGCGGAAAAACCGAACAACAACAAGCCGCGATTGAAGGTAATTTTCTTTTTGATTTTAATATTAGAAAATGGGCACCACAAATATACGATTTCCGTGGGAGTTTTGGTCATTTTCATTTTTTATAAATTGACCGTTTACACCCTAAAATAGAACAGACGTAGGTTTTACATCTTTTTCAATTTTCCCAACTGTTCTAGCTACTCTTTTGTTAAGCTCACTTCCATTCCGAATGAAGAACTTCATACGTCAATCTCACCAGAAGACTATGGTAGAACTGGAACCTTCCAATCGACGCACTCCTCGAGAAACTCTCTTTCGGCTCCGGCGAAAAAGTGCCAAGCTTGCGTTACCCAAGCTGGACACCTTGCTTACACTTAATTCAAGCTAGGGAATCCAGAAAATGCCAGATCAATCTATATCTCACGAAAATTTGCTTGTATGGAGTCTATATACAGCATTTAGGGATAAGCCGTCCGAAGTAGCTGTAAGAGTGGTGTCAAACTTGAATTATGTACGTCATATGCTCTAAAAGACGGAAGTTAAACCTCTTTTCTCGGACGCACCTTATCCAAAGTCCTCTGTCATAGTAGTTATCATAATTCCCAGCATCAGACTATGGACTCCGTACATGCTCAGACGTTTCGCCAGCATCATGAGTGAGTCTTACCATTCTCAGCACCAAGTTACAACTTACTATACACAAGAAATGTCTAAGAATTTACCAAGTCCACGGTCTGACCCTGGGAGTTAATATAACTACTATGACAGAGGAATTCGGACAAGATATGTCCAACTAAGTCGCCCTGACAAGATCAAGCTGTGAAAACAAGGTCAACCCACTCGAAGTCCTTGCTCCATTTTCTACCACTGTTTCTCACATTAGACGTATTCCATAATCTATCCTTTTTGATAGCCTCTCTTATATTATTTTAACAGCTGACGTACAATAATCTGCAAACTCACTCGTTTGAGAACATTCTATTTCATGTCCAGTCTCTGGCCTGCGTGCTTGCCCACTTCTTACCGTTTGACCCAGCTCCCTTTTCAAGCATTTTCTTGTAATACCAATCTTTGTCAATTGGGCCTGCATGTCTCACCAACATAAAGCCGGCCACAGGATCACAATCTTGTAGCATCCGGATCTTGATAATGGGTCACATTTCTCTCTAAAACATGGTATAACCGAAGAACGTGTGAGGGTTTCTGTGAACACTGTTTTTATTCCCCACTCTCTTGTTCTACTTTAATATCAGAAAGAAGGTATGATAGCAAATTTAGGAATTACATAGAAAGTAGCGAATAAAATCACTATGTATCATATTCACTCATGGTAGACTTCGAGACTATCATTGAATCTTGGATGTGATATGAGAGAGGTCCTATGTTGCTTGAAACTCACATCTTCCCTGTGGCACAGGCTCACTTGGCGTAGTGGTAGCATATCGATATTATACTCTGTACTACTCGACATCGATTCCCGCTGGTGTTGATGAGACCCAGGTGAGGTCAGGTCGAAACTGCAGTCCTCTGGCTGAAAAGCAAGGCTAAATACAATTCAATGGAACCGCAAGGCCTTTTGATACGAATGTAAAAAATTTAACTATCAGTGCTTCATCACTTTATTTCCTTTTATCTGGCTCGTTTTTCTAATTGTTGTGAGTATATATGATATGTAAAGAAGAGCCAGATAGTCTTCTCGAAGATTTTTGTAAGAATGAGCTCTAGCCGTGTTGACGTTTGTTCAGTCGCATGGCAGACGAAAACTCGGCTTATTTAACTCTGAACCAAAGGTGAATGTCTTGATTATTTCGTCAACCTGAAATTCCCATTCAACTCCTGAGGAAGCTTCCGTCTTCCTCCGGTAAAATCGGCTGAAGAAATCCTTCATCATAGTCGGGATGAAAGCGAAATCTACGCCGATATACCAAAAGCCTCCTCTAAAACCAGTTTATATTCATATTTGCTTCCCATCCGAAGTATGTGGAACTTCAGTATGATCCTAATGGTCCTCATCGCCTATTAAATAACTCACTTAAATGAAGTGTCCGTCACGACTATTAAAGAATCGGGTGTCATGTCACTAAGACGACGATCTTCAGTTAGCTTGTATCCCCTTTGAAGTGGCTTTCTTGCTTTATTTTAAACTTCAGACTTCATCCAGGCCATGTTCTCTCATGGAGCTCAAGGTTCAGCTGGCCTCAAACAGATAGTTGATGAGGTGATCGAAAAGCAACTTATCAGTCTCCTAGAGATTGGCAAGGAGCAGACGTATTTCATTCAAGCTATCCTGTCACGATTGACTGAGCAGCTGGAACAGTTTTCTTCGGAGCTCAGCCATCACGAGCCTCAACCCCTTGGCTCGAAAGCAAATATGAAGAGTTGAGATCAAGTCAGCTTCACTGAAGATTATCTTTGCCAAATGTATCCTGAGATTATAGAAGGAAGAGGCTTTCCGAGAAAGTAAATTAATTAATTGTAATTAAAATCTATATTTGTAAAACAGCTACATCAATTGTAAACTAACACGTTTCCTTATTGCCTTAAGATAAAATAAAGTGTTTAGTTTCATCATGTCAGTCATTCAAGCCAACTTTTGGCACAGTCTAAGGCTAAAACTGTGAGAAAAATTAATTTACACTATCAATTAATAAGTTTCATATCAAAACTGGTCTTCTTGTTATTATCTGTGATAAATTTATACACACATCAATCAGGCCAGGTTCCTCGGAGAACGAATAAAGTTTTCCTATGCACTCGACGGCAAATTCGAGAGGTTTTCGGATGGGATTTAAATAAGGCCAAACGTGTTATAACATCATTTACTAAAGATTGGCTACTTGACTTGCATCGCAAGTACATTCAGGATAGTGGCAGAAGAAATACTGAAAGCAACTCATTTATGTACTGGTATTCGTTGTCATGTTGCAAAATTAAAAGGAAGTACCGAATTTACATTGAAATTATGAAGGAAATTGG